GTCCCAGCCACCTTCCCTTTGGTGGTGATGGGATTTGGAGTTCCCAGTGTCTTTGGCTTTGACCTGGGGTGGGGGTGGAGTCCACAAAGCCTATATGGAAATAGCTTTGGGACATCCTTTTCCCCCTAACAAGTCCAGCTCCCACCTTGACCTTTTACCATGTGAGAAACCATGAACAGAGGACTTAGGTGAGTTCCAGAACCCATGTGGACTTCTGACCTACAGAACTGAGATAGTAGGTGTCATATTAAATCTCTAAGTTCATGTAATTTGTTATGTAACAATAGAAAACTAATACAGAACCCGATCTGTGCAGAGATGGTTTATCCTTAAGTGAGGAGGCCCAGAGAGGTGTGGTTACTTGCCTAGGATGGCAGAGCATATTAGAGGCAGGGCTGAGCCAGAGCAACTAGGGCAAGGGCTGGCAAACGTTTTCTGTAAAGGCCCAGACAGTATGTATTTTAGGTTTTAGGGGCCAGATGGTTTCTGTCACATCTACTTCATTCTAGTATTATAGCAGACAAGTAATAGGTGAAGATTGATCATGGTTATGTTCCAACAAAACTTTATTTACGGGCATTAAAATTTGAATTTCATAAAATTTTCATGTATCATGAAATATTCTTCCTTTGATTTTCTTTATTCATTAAAAGATGTAAAAACCATTGTCAGTTTGTTGACTTTATATAAAAACAGGCAGTGGGCCAGATTGGGTCCTGGGCACAGTTGGTCCTGCCAACTCTGCTTTCCCTCCTTCTCTCCCCTCTGCCCTCCAGGGGCCTGACTGCTAGCCCAAGGCATCAGGGATTCTAAACAGTGACTGAGAAACCAGAAAAGGGCTCAGGGCCTTAGGAGCCCATCTGGGTCCCTGCCATACTTCAATTCACTGTGTGTCCTCAGGCAACTCATATTCCTTTTCTGAGCCCATAAAACAGAGATCAAAACAGATCAGTAGTTTTCAAACCTTTTCTTCACCCAGCCCCCAGCCCCCAGGTGACAACAAAATATCTCCATACATTACCAAATGTCCTCTGGGGTTGGTGGGGGTGAGAAAATCACCCCTGATTGAGAACACGGATCTAAAATCCCTCTTTCATGACCTCGAAGGTCAGAACCTACTGCTATTGGGCTTGTGAGAATATGCAGAGATTCTTTATGATATTCCCTCTCCCGGGCCTGACTGGCCTTGGCTGCATGGCTGGAGGTCCCTGGGCTGCCCCTCACCCTTGAGCTGTCCTCCCTCTCTATAGTAACGCTCTGTGCTCCTACGTGGCGGGCCGTGCAACCCTCCACTGCGCATGCTCTGCTACTGTCAGCACATATCCATGGTGGGCTTACTGTGTACAGGCTTTGAGGTGGCACAGGGGTGTGGGGTGGGGCCAGGGCATGAGCTGGCTGTACCTGCCTGAGGATCCTATCAGTAGAAGAGCAGATAGCTAAACTCTACTTAGAATGGGCGGGGTATGGAAAGATGTTCAGATGGATTGTGCTGAAGGAAAATGAAAGCCCATTAAAATGGCACACAATGCGTGATCAGATTTTTGAAAATGTGCACATTTGGAAATAATTAGATCAAAATGTTACAATGGTGGGTTGTCTCTCGGTAATGGCTCTGCAAAGGACACTGACTCCAGTCCTGGAGGCAGGAGTAAGGGAGAGAGGGAGGATGCTTTTCTAAGAGCATGTATTCTCTCATTGCTTCTTTACAGATATAATAATAATAGCAGCCAATTTATTAAGCACTTAGTATGAGTCACATTATATAATAATGCACATTATATAATAACTCATTCAATTCTCGTAACAAAGCTGAGAGTTCTATCTGGTTCCAGTGCTTATTTCTTGCTGCTTTTCTAAATGTGGCCTGAGCCCACGGACCCCAGGATCACCTGCCCAAGAAGGTAGGGGTGAGAGGGTAAGTGGGACCTGCGCCGAGAAGGCTGCATTTAGAGAAATGTTTGTCTTCCCTTACAGGGTGGGAGGCTGTTCTTTATCTGTGAAGGGGGATATTCTGATTTCTTTTAACACTGATATGTTCTAAATTTTCTGCCACGTCCAGTGATTTCTTCTTATTGGGAAAGAAAGGAAGGCCCATGGCTTTATTTTGCTGGTATGCTTGGGGCTGTGACATGAGGGATAAAGCTGTGGGCACTGTGGGCACCGGGGAGAACAGGACCAGACAGTGCTGCTTTGGGACTCTGAGAAGTCACCCAGAGGAGACCTGTGACCCAGCCTTGGGGGACGTATATGAGCTCACCAGGTGAAGCTGGTGGGGAGGGAGGGCCTTCTGGGCAATGGTGTGGCATGGGGACAGAGGGCCGATGAGTTCAGGAGTCAGGTGGGGGGAGCTCAAAAAAGAGACAGAGCATGGATACTTGGGAGCTGGCGTCCTTATCTGAGGATGGGGACAGGAGGAGCACTGACAGGTTTAGGCAGGCGAGGGACTGATTGGGGTGCTGATTGGAAACTTGAGCTGGCAGAGAAGCCTTTGAGAGGTGGTAGCAAACGATATGGTAGCAAACAATATGGGAAAATGCAGATGGACTGAAAGATTGAGAATCATGGAGATTTTAGCACCTTCCACCCTCTCCCCCTCCAAATAGCTATGTGACCTGGGCAAGACTCTTCTCTCAGTCTGGATGACGGGTAACAAACAAGAAATGTGACATAGAGTAACTGGGTACAAGAAGTTGCCCCTTCTTCCATGTCCTTGAAGCAGAAGTCGGTGACTGACTTTCTCTTAGGAGTCACCCAGCAGGTGCCAGGGAGAACCTGAAGCTGCAGGTTCTGAAAAGGTTTGTAAGTACATCCAAGCTGTGGGATGTACTTACACGGTACTGGACATCATGGTGGACCTGGGCGCTGGGACCAGAACTCCAAAAGGTGGGGAAGAGGAATACAGAGGCAGAACCCTAAGGAACCCAGACCCCTGATTCTGATCAGCACCCAGTCCCAGCCTCCTCTAGTCCCAGCTGGCTCTGCTGGGCCCTGAGCCACTACATATCGGATCCCTGACTCAGGGAGGTCACCAGTGATTGGGGGAGAGTCACCAATAGAGTCACTCTATCACATGAGAATGCTCCCTGCCCACTCCTCATGGATGAGATCTTTAACACACTTACTACCCTGGGAAGGAGGTACCATTGTCTTCACATATAAAGGACACAGAGGTTCAAAGAGAAGAATATGATAAACTTCTCCTAACCTGGAAGTGACTAAGAACAGAAGTAATGACCTCTCCCATTCTGGGCCTGAGGATCCATTCTGAGTCAGGGGACACAAGTTTAAGCAGGGTCAGGGGTGTGCCTAGGCTGGACCTCAACGTCCCCAACCTGTGACCCAGTCCTGGACCTACAGGCAGGAGGGGAAGGTAAGTATTAATCAGTGAGGGGTATAACCCCCCCAAAAGCTGCCTGCCCCAGCAAAAAAAGAGTAGGGCTGATAGCTTCATGGCATCCTCACATCGCCCTTGAGCAAGCCCCAAGGGCTCCAAGAGCTGGGGTGATGGGTCCCTGGGCAGCTGGTCCCCAGTTCCACATTGAGAAGAGCAAGCTGAAGGATGTCCTGTTTTGAAGTCTGCCTGGTTCCTGTCTCAGCTCAGTGGCTCCTGATCTCTGTAGACTTGGCAAGGTTTTGCTCCTCTCTGATGCTCAGCTTCCTGTCTGTAAAATGGGAGCATTTATACAGACCACACACAGTGAAGGTGGAAAGAGAGACCATGTGAAAGGCCTCAGGTCAGAAGCAGACTGCTCAGAGAAAGCTAATGCTCTTGGATGGCATCTCTCCTGGGAAATGAATTTAGGACTTGGGGCCTGGGGCCTGCCACCTGCTCCATGACTCTGAGGCTTCCCCTCTCTGAGCTTCAACTTCCACTGGACTCACACAGCTCAGACCTTCTGCATTGCTGGGCTGGGAGCAGTTAGTCACCACCGGCTGGGTGGGGCATCCCGACTACCGACTACCGCTGAGGGGAATCTGGCCCTATCCTTTGGCTGGTTGGAGCAGCAGGAAAAGACAAAAACAAAACTCAGGCCCAGACTGATTCAGAGTCAGTTTCCTTTGACCCACATGAGTCTGTGGAGGTTTCAGCAGTCTGTGACCTGCCTAGCCTTAGTACATGCTGTTCCTTCTGCCAGGGTACCACCCACCCTGCTGCCGGCTCCCACCTTCCTAGGAGGACTCCCTAGTCAACTTAAGAAAGGTGAGAAATTCTCCAGGAATCACCCCTCATACCCGCCCCCCCCCCCATGCCCAAACAACACTCCAGGCTCCCAAATCCAATGTCCACAAAGTGACACTTGTTCAGGGGCCATGCCCAACACTCCTCAGGTGGGTTGAGCCATGCAGTAAGAGGGTGCAGGCCAGGCAGGTCACCCAGCAGGCCGGCAGCCTGATCCTGGGGCAGTGACCTCCTGTCAGGCTGGGGGAAGCACAGCCGCCCATTATTTCTGAGAATGTCTTCCTCCTCAGGATGTAAGGACCTGGAGGCCCCAGGAGGGCTTGAAAGGCTTGGCCACTAAGAGAAGAAAAAGACAGTTATGTCAAGCGGGCATTCGCTGGACATTTAGGAAAGAGCCCGTCCCTCCGTTGGCCTCAGTTTCCCTGGCTCAAGATGGAGTGGGGCGGTGTGGGCTCAGGACTTCTAGCGCCCCGGCTGGGCTAGTGGGGGCGGGACAGCCCCGAGGTCAGACGATCCCGACAGTTCCCGGGTCGGGCCGCCCCCCGCGCTAGAAAACCCCAACCCCCCCAGCCCCGGTGGCGCGGCCGCTTTAAGGCCGGGCGGGGAGGCGGAGGGCGGCGGCCACCTGGAGGCTCCGCCCGCCGGGGAGCTGCCAGCACGCGGATCCCAGAAAGGTGGGGCGGGCGGCGCCCGGAGCCCCAGCGCGCGCCCGGGGGCCTGGCCGCAGGCGTCGGAGCTCCGGCGGGGCGGGGCGGGGCGGGGCGGGGGCTGGTCACCTCCGCAGTCCAGGGCGAGGCCCGGCCCCGCGCGATCTCGGGGCGGCAGCGTGGGGGTGGAGGGGCGTAGTGCCACCCCGGGCTTGCCAAGCCTAGTGGGGCAGCGCGCAGCCCCTCGGCGGATGCCCTTCGGGTGAAGCCAGACTCAGTACCCAGTGAGGGGCGGCTGGAGTAAGAACAGACCCGGGCTGGGGGTCGGCGTAGAGCGAGACCCCTGGACGAGACCTGGAGCCGGAGTTTAGCATTTTTGCCGCGCGCAGAGAGGAGGGTTAGGGGCTGCCCCTGGGGCGGTGGCCTGCAGACCCAGGAGCCGGGGTGTCCAGGCTCGCTCCAGGCTCCCGTCTGACTGTCACCATGCTTGCGCGCCTGCACCACGTCTGACAGCTGGCCGGGTGATGACTGCGCCCGAGGTAGGGGTAAGCTTCCTTTTCTCCCGCCTTCGGGAGCGTCTTGGTTTCTGCTAACGCCCGTCCCACCTGGAATCTTTTCCTTCAGCTTAACCAGTGACTTGGTGGGCATGTGAGGGGGAAATGATGTCCTGAGCTAATCCCATACAGGATTTGTGGACCCCACTCCCACTCCAGACTAAAGCCATCAAGACATTGGGAAAGACAAATCCCATCACCACCAAAGGGAAGGTGGCTGGGACCTGAGGGTGGGGTTAAGCGGCCAGGATGGGTATAAAAACCAAACACGTGGGCCTTGGGGTCTCTCGGCTCTGTCGCTCGCCTCCTGGCTTCACGGCTCCTGGCTGGCTGCCAGCTCTCAGAGCCATTTGGAATTCCTAATCAGCGGATAGGGTAAGATTCATTTAAAACTTTGTCTCCCACTTTTCTCCCTGAGCTGTACATTTCCTCATTTCCCCTTCCCTTGTAAATAAACCTTTTATTAACCTTTCGCGTGTGCCTGCAGTAGAGCACTGATAAGTCCTTTTAAACGCGCGGGTGAGGACCCACAGTCAGGCACCCCGTTTTGTATCGGGGTTGCTCTACAACAGGCAGAGCGGGGACACCCAGGTATCCTCCTAAATGCTCTGACTGGTTGGCTGGCCCTGGGTTTCAGTTTACCCAGTGTTTTTACATGGGATGGTTTGAACCCCTTCTTGTTGAGATGGTTTAGTTCTTTACAGAAAAGTGGCCCCTGAGTTCTCTCCGTGGTAGTATGGACAATAGGTGGTGTTGCATCCATTTTACAGAGGAGGGTACTGAGGCATGGACTCTCTCCCAGGCCTGGAATTCCCCAGCCCCTGCTCCACTGGCTCCGCTTTTAGAAGAGCAGGCTGGCCCCCATTAATCCTCATAGCAGCCCGCTAGGGAGCCTGCCCTTTAAAATAGGGCTAAGTAAGCAGCCCAGGCAGTTGAGAAGTTAATCTCCTCTCCAGGTCCTTCCTGGCTGCGGGGGAGGCTTTTTTGTACAAGAAATCTCATTTAAGAAAGTTTCCTTAAGAGGCGTTTATTGAGCAGTTACTACTGTGCCTGGCATGGGGAAGATAGCAGTGGACAGGGCCAATATGGAGCCTGGCCTGAGCGAGCACACTGGTGGGAAGAGCAAAACAAAAATGAGACACAGGTTGATAAGGGCTGTGGTCCAAGAAGGCCCAGGGCACTTGGGTATTTGAAGTGTCACCAGCAAAGCCTCCTTGGGTGAGAGCCAAGCTGAGTCTCACGGGAAGATAATGGCAAGATCCCAGGTGGATGGACCAGAGGCTGGCTTTGGGGGTGATGTGCTTGTGGTCTCAGTCCTTCCTGCCTATAAGATGTGGGGCTAGTCTATTCCCAGGTTCTTTCCTTTTCCTGTGGTTTTTTCTTTATCTAACTGAGATAACACTGTCTGTGTGGTTCCATACACTACACTGAAAAAAGTAAGATGGCAGTATTTCCTCTGTGTCGTAACGCATTTGTAATGAACTTGCTTTTTACAAATGATCTTTAATATTCCACCTAAAAACTATGCCCTGGTTTACTCACCATGTCCCTATAACTGGCCATTTAGTCTTTTTCCATATTAGTACCATTATAAAAGGAGGCCACTGAGAACATCTTTTTGCACAAAGTTTTGCTTCTGACATGAATTGCAGCTTCAGGCTTCTCAATGCCCTCTCTCACACTTGCTCCTTTTTTGGTCCTGGGTTTCGGTGTCTTCCTCTGTCAAATGGCGATGACAGTGTTGACGTCATGGGGTTGTGACAGGGGAATGAGGCAGTGGCAACCAGCAAGCCCTGATCCTGGACCCCTCAAGTGTTCACTCTCTTCCCTCTCAGCTGGTGGGAGACACTGTGGATTGGGGGTATCTTCTACCCACCAGGCAGATGAGGTCTCTGAGCCTGGAGAGAGGCCAGATGTGAAGCTGGCCAGCCTTAATGGTTCCCAAATATGGTACTAGAGATTTGAGACACATTATCTGTCACCTTCAAAAATGCCCTTCAAAGTTGGGAGCCTCGTCTCCATCTCACAGATGGGGAAACTGAGGCACAGAGGTGGAGAAAAATGAGCTCTCTTAGATTGTACCATGAAGCTTAGGCAGAAGATTACCACCCAGATCTCCTGAACCCAGCCGGTTGCTCACATGACCCATTTCCTTTTCTCTTTCCTTCATGTCCAGATGTGTGACAGGAGCCGCATGGCCTCCACCCTGCGCTACTGCCTGACGGTCAGCGGCATGGTGGTTCTGGTGGCCGGGACGCTGTGCTTCGCTTGGTGGAGTGAGGGGGATATGGGTGCCCAGCCAAACCAGTCAACCCCACCCACTGGGCACCCCACTCCCAAGGCACCCAGTACTCTGCTCAGGTCGGTTAGCTTCTTCTGCTGTGGCGCAGGTGGCCTGCTGTTGCTCTTGGGCCTGCTATGGTCTGTCAAGGTCAGCACCTGGGGTCCACCTGGATGGGACCCATACTACCTTTCCAGAGACCTGTACTACCTCACTGTGGAGCCCTTGGAGAAGGAGAGCTGCAGGTCAGCAGGGCATGGTGTGTGTGTATGGTGGGGGGTGGCAGGGAGGAGAGCATAGGTGGGGCATCATCATGCCATCAGGCATTTGCTAAGCAAACTCTCTTGGGAGTCCTCTTCTGGACCAGACCTAACCTATGGCCCTGGGGACTTGAAGTCTGATCAATACAGTTGAGGAAGAGTTTAAAGCCCCATCACAGAGGCAGATGTGGACAAAACAGAGTAGTAGAACTGTGAGAGAGGGGTAGACACGGTCCTGTGGAGATATGGAGAAATATAGGAAGGCTTCTTGGAAGAGGTCACAAATGAACTAAACATAGTAGTACTAAGAGCAGTAGAGAGATTGAGAGCCCAGGCACAGAAGTTAGACTACTGGGGTTTTCCCCTGGTTCTATCACTAACTAGCTGTAGGACTTCAAGTAGTTTGTGCAACCCCACTGAGCCTCAGCTTTCTCATTTGAATAAAATGGGGATAAAAGCCACCATAATAGTAAACACTTGGGTGATACTTGCTAATACCATGTACCTGCCTCTGTTCTATTTGTTTTTCATTTATTCACTCAGTCTTTACAGCAGCCCATGAAGTAGGTATAAACGGAGTTATTAACTCCACTTATAGATGGGCAACTGAGGCACCATGATGTTAAACAACTTGCCCAAGATCACCCAGCAGGTGTGTCCCAGAGTCTGTGCTCTCACCCACTTCCTACCTGAGGGGCCATGGGGAGAATGGAATGAGACTCTGTGCATGTAAGATTTAGCCCAGTGCCTGGCACTGGGTAGGTGCACAGTAAATGTCAACATTTCCTCAAGTGGACAGGCAGAGAGAGGCTGTTTAGGCAGGCGGAAGAGCACGTGCTAAGGCTCAGGGGTGAGGTGGGGGTGGAGGCAAAAGTTTGTGTTGAGATAATATTTCTCAACTTATTTGTATCATGGCTGCTTCTAAGAGACCTTTTAAGGCATTTCCCCCCTTAACCTCCCCGCCCCCCTTGGAACTTTAATACCACAGATACACTGTATATTTGTTCATGGCCTGTATGTATACCTGTGCTTTATAGACAAAGTATCACCAAGATTCCAAGAACCAGTTTTTACCCTGCTGAGAATGCATGCATGGCCCATGTAAAATATATTCACTCACGCGTGTCAGGGGTGCTTACCTATCAGAGGCCTGCATGCCTCTCCTCCAGCCCCTCTGTCCACCCATGTAAGGCGACACTGTCTGCAAGTAAAGTAAGACTGTTGCCATTTGTGGAAGAAGATGAGGGTCACACAGCTAGAAAATGGCAGGGTCTGAGGGCTGCAAAACTGGCCTTCTCCCAACCCTATCTGTAGGCCCTGGATTTAGGTGGGTTGGGGGCTGAGCCAGCTATCCCTGAGCTGACTTGGGACCTGGGCACCTGTCTTCCCCGAGTTAGAGGGAAATGCATTCAGAGTTCCAGAATGTAGCTGCTTCTGGCCTGTAACTCCCCAGGACCAGAGACAATAGAGCATTCAACAGAGGCTGCTTCATCTAAATGGTCAGGCCTTGGTCTGACCTAGTGTTAGAGAGAAGAGCAGGACCTGGGGGACTCTGCAGTCAAACCCTTCACTTCCCAGATGGGAAGCCTAGTTCTCAGGGAGACCAATGACCTTTCTGGTCACATGGTATGTTAATGGTCATTTGGAACCAGGCCAGGCCTCAGGGTTCTCTGGACTAGAGCTTGTGCCTTCCCTGCCCAGCTGGGTCTTCATCCAAGGGTGGTTATTGTCTGTATAAACAGCCATGTTGACCCAACAGGATCCAGGCCATGATGGTGGCAGTGGGGTGTGGTCACCATGCCCAGTCAGGCCAGGGAGGAAGCCTACCCAGGATGCTGCAGGGTGCTCATGGTCCAGTGGTTTCAGAGGCTGGAGTCTTAGATTCAGACCTGGATGTCAGGGAGGTTGTTTCTGCTAATGGCTGTTTCTTGTCCCCAACCTAACCTGCTATTTGTGAATCCAGCAGCCGGCCCCCATGAGGAGGCCACTCTGCTCTTTGCTGTTCCCACCTGTAGGTGTCCTGCCCTCTGGGGGTGAATTTAGATGAGAGACAAAGGCCTTCCTTCTAGGCCGATGGCTTGAGGTTGTCCATTCCCCTCATGGGACCTCTGTTTCCCCATTTATTCATCAACTTATTCTTTCATGCATTTAACCACTGTTTACTGAGCACCTACTATGCACTAAATCCTATGTAGGGCACTGACAATGCAGTAGTGGACAAAAAATCCTTGCCTCAGAGAGCTCCTATCTTAAGTATGAGCCCTAAAATAAGGTGGCTGGATGGGAGATGTCCCTGGGCCCCCACCCTCGGACAGTATAGCAGAGAGAGCCTGGATTTATTCAGACACCAGCATCAGTCTCTGCTCTTTCTTTTATAAGCTGTGTGTCCTTGACGATGTTACTCAGATTATCTGAGCCATGTCTCATTAAGTCCTCATCTGTGAGCCATCAGGGACATAATTTCCCCCCTAGAACAGCAGGTGGGCACAGAAGAGTGCTAGATTGGGAAGTACATACACTGCGAAGTTCATGTACACTTTAACTTCCACTGCTCTTACTGTATTTTACAGTTTGCAACACGCTCTAGTAACTAACTGCTCAGAGACTGGTCTAAGTGCAAGGGTTAGACCCATTTTACAGAAGAGAAAGCTGAGATGTAGAGGGATTTAGGTGATTGGGGATGAGGAGTATGACAGGTGGAGTATCTTGAGCTTTGCAATCAGACAGCGGGGCCTTTGTCCCTTAGCTGATGGTCACTTTCATGCATGTATAAGATGACGGAGAGCTGCTAGCCCCAGGGTGCCAGGAAAATGAAAAGTATTTCATCCCTTCTCTCTTTCCCTTTTTCCTACTGTGTTTACTTGACTCAGCTGAAGGGCAGAGGAGCTAGCGCCAGGCCCAGGTCTCCTGTCCCCACCAGGTTCCCGGGAGTAGGGGAGCTCCCAACCTCCATTGAGCATCCTATACCTGAGACCATGGTGGCAGCTGGTGCCACACTGCAGGCCACATCCAGAAAACAACACAAGTGGGTCCCCTCCCTAGAGTGTGCAATATAGCCACCCTGCCTAGGGCTTCGTGTTCCCAAGTTCCCAGCCATCTGGCCGTGACTGTGGAGACTTAGGGCTGGGTGGGCCTCCTGGCTACTAAGGTAACAGCAGTGGGAGGGCCATTCCACATCTGCCCTCTAAGCAAACTTCCTGCTGCAGGCTGAGCTCACCTGGCACCAGTGCCCTGCCCTGCCAGCTGTCACCTGCTGGGTGGCCCCAGGCATACCCAAAGCCTGGCTCCCGTCTCCAGGACTTGGAGAAGTGGGGAGAGGAAGGGGCTCCCTCCCCTGGCCTCTGGAGTGAAGTTCCCACCCCTGCCAGAGCCTCTGTCTTTCCAGCCAGCCTCCTGCACTGACCTAGAGAATCAGGCCCACTGGTACGGATGCAATTGTTCCCTCATAGGCTCCAAACTGATGGCCTTGGGGAGGTAACAGCTTCCCAGAGCCTGTGTGGGGCTTGCCATGCAGGAGACCTGTCAAGAGTCTGTCCCTACAACCCTTTCTCACGGAGACCTTTGAGATTTTGTTTCCACTCCTATTTACTAAGTGTACTGAGTGCCCCCTGCATCATCTCACTTAATCTTCACACTGTCCTGTGAGGTAGGTGCTGCTTGGTTATTGTCCACATTTTACAGGTAGGGAAATTGAGGCCCAGGTCAATGGACTTAATGGTCAATGATCTTCCACCAAGAGATCAAGAGGCATGGTAGAGCAGAGAGTTGAACCAGCCAGGGTTGACTCATACCTGGCCCTTGGGTCACTTGGTGTGGGATGGGATCTTCATGGTCACTTCCCCTACCTACCCTGAACCTCCTATCTGGCAATATCACCCCTGCAGTAGAGCAGCCCAGGCCTAGGGCCAGTGACACTCCCACCCCCAGTGTCCTGGGAGGGGATGGGGCAATGACTGTGGGTCCCCACAGGTGACCCACCAGGACACTGAGAAGACTGAGGGACAGCCTTGTTCCCAGGCACTGGTGTGGCTTGGATTCTGGTGACCTGGACTTGGAATCCAGCCTGGGGAGCCTGGTCAGAGCTGCCTCGGAGGACCAGGTCTCTTCCTTAAGTCCCTGCAGGGCGGTTCACTTCGGTGAAGTTGGGGCAAGTCACAAGTCAGCTGAGCTGTCCAAAGATAGAAGTGGTTAACTTGGTAGGTGGTGAGCCCTCCCTCTCTGAGGCATGTGAGAAGCAGGGCCTCAAGCATTCAGATGGGCAGGAAAATTGAGGTCTCATCCTGTCCTGAATGTCTACAACTCCCGATCTTGTAATGGATATTACAATAAGTTGGAAGTCTTTCTCCCCATGGACCATTACTCAGTCTTTCAACAAACATCCTCAAATATCTGCCTTTAACTCCTAGACACTTGAAAGTCAGTCCCTTCCCTGGGGCACAACCCATTGGGGTCAATGCAGTGACAGAGAGGAGAATACTCTGGGAGCCCAGAATAGGTAGTGGGGCTTTATTGGGTGAGGGGGATCTAATCAGGAAAGCTTCCCAGAAGACTCTCAAAGCACAAGTGGGGACTCACCAGCAGCCAGGAGGTGAGAGAAGTGAGGACTTTCCCTGCAGAGAGAACTGAAGAGGCATAGAACTGAAGCTGGGTAGCTCACGTGGGGCACTCAATCTCCAGGGTAGGGAGAGTGGAGTGGGAGAGCTGAGGCTGGCAGGTGCCAGCTCATGCTAAGCTTTAACTGTGTATACAGGGTATACAGGACCCCACAAAAAGTTTGGCCTGGGGCATGAAGCCTTCCCTGCACCCAGCCTTCCTCACTCTCTAGTATGCATGTGGGTTTGCCCTAGCCCCTGCTAACAGTCTCTCTTCCCCTGTTCCTACAGGACCCCAGAGCTGGTTGCCATCCCCACCTATGAGGAAGCTGTGCACTACCCCCTGACTGAGGTTTCCCCGCCACCACCTGCATACCCGATGGAGGAAGGCCTAAAATGCAACATCTATGGAGACCCCCTTCTTGGGACCCAGCACCCCCTGCCTCCCCCTAGCTATGAGAGCATCATCCTTGGTGTTGATGGCACCTCTGGAGAGACAACACCTGGAGCTGCATGCTACTACTACCCAGGCCCGGTTCAGACTGCAGGGGAGGAGCCCAGTGTGATTCAAAGTCAGTATAAGTGACAAGCTCTTCTAGTGTCTAGCACAATGCCTGGCACACAGTAGGCGCCCAACCAGTGTTTGTTGTGGAGTGCTGGTTTAGTTATCTATTGCTGTTAACAAATGGCTTCAAATAAATGCATTTTATTATCTCTCATGATTCTGTGGGCAGCCTGGGCCCAGCTGGATAGTTCTTTTACCACACATGATGTTGGGGGCTGGGGGCTGCAACTATCAGGGTCCCTGCTGCATCAGAATGTCCAACATAGCATGCTCGTGGCTGGCAGTTAGTGCTGGCTGTCAGCTGGGAGATTTTGTTGTGCAGTGACCAAACCAGGGCCCAGAAACAGAGCCAAGACTGGCCTAAAGTCGTATCATGTTTATAACCAAAAGAACATGGACTCCGAATTCAAATCACCCTGTGCATAGGTTCTACCACATCCCAGCTGAGAGACCTTGGACAAGTGACTTGACCTCTCTCTGCCTCCATTTCCTCATCTGTAAAATGGGAATTGGGAACAGCAGTAGCACCAGCTCCTGCCTCAGAGAATTAAATTGTGGGGATTAAATGAGATGACAGCAGCTGACACTGTGAGCGCACCTTGACCTGCCAGCTCACGCAAGTGTATCAGATAATACATACAGGTTTCTTAGCCCAGAGGCAGCTGTCTATTAAGTAGATAGATTGCCAGATTTTGTTAATAGAGGTAACACTTTCTCCATCAAGTCAAATTTGGCTCCTGCTCCCATACCTCCTAGAACAGGGAGCTCACTACTTCTCCTAGTTTGCAGGTAATGGCAGAAATGTCTGCTTTCTGTCCAGCCACATTCTGCATCCCTACATCTCCACCCCATTTCACAGATGAGAAAACCAGCTCAGAGAAGTAACCTTTCCACAGTCACACAGCAAGCAAGGACTCAAAGTCCTAGGTTTAGTTAGCTGGCTAAAAGTGGCATTCCCTGAGGGCTTCCGGCATATTGGGCCAGGCTCTCTGCCATTGTTTCACACCATCAAGGCTGCTAAAGGTGGTATGTCCATGTAACACGTGTGGAAACTGAGTCTCAGAGAGGTAAAATCAGAGAGCAGAAAAGCAGAGCCAATATTTCATTCAGGCCTGGTGGGCTCCAGGCCTGGAATCACATCCAGTATCCCAGTCCTGCCAATGTTCCTGTAGTCTGTTCTCAGTGTGGTCTCCACTGTGGTGTCTCTCAGCCTGATCAAACCCAGATCTAGCAGGAGCACAGAACCTTGAGTGGCTCCCTGCTCACTTGAGCCCCAAAACTGTTAATTCAGTGTGCAGACAGGGCCAGTGCCCTGTAAGTAAGTGGGTCTGCCCTCCCCACTTACTCTCTGCCACCCACACCCTTCTGTGGGCCTGGGCACTGGTACTGTCTTCCCAGACACTCCCCCCAGGGTCACCTCCTCACCTCCTTCTCTCCACGAGGCCGTCCTTGACCCTGTTAAAAAACTGAATCCCACCTGGCCTCCTGCACGCCAGCCTCTTTCCTGCTCATTTGTTTTTTTAACACCTGTCACCATTTAACATTTTACTTTTAAAAATTTGTCCTTTGCTTGTTTGTTGTATGTTTCATCCTGTTATAGAGCAACTCTGAAATTAAATGGGTTCCTGGCTGTGGGTCCTCACCCGCGCGCTTTAAAGGGACTTACAAATACTCTACTACAGGCACACACAAAAAGGTTAATAAAAGGTTTATTTACAAGAGGAAAGGAAATAAGGAAAATGTACAACTCAGGGAGAAAATAGGGAAATAAAGTCTTTAATGCTAATGCGTCCTACCCGATCCGACGACCTGGAAACCCAAAGTCACTCTCAGAGCTGGCCGGACGCTGCGAGCTGGTGGAGAGCCCAAAATGGGGTCCCCCAAAGCCCACGTGTCTGCCTTTATATCAACCTGGCTGCTTAACCCCACCCTCAGGTCCCAGCCACCTTCCCTTTGGTGGTGATGGGATTTGGAGTTCCCAGTGTCTTTGGCTTTGACCTGGGGTGGGGGTGGAGTCCACAAAGCCTATATGGAAATAGCTTTGGGACATCCTTTTCCCCCTAACAATCCCACCAGCAAGCTTCAGGAAAGCCTAGAAAAGATGCTGGGCATCAGGAAGATCTCTGTAGATATTTGTTGACCGACTGAGTGAATCAATAAATGTCAATCCCGCCTTTAGCCACCAAGCCAGACTGTGGATCTTCTGTAAACCCCAGCCTTTCCCTCATCACCAAACCCTGGGTCCCCCATCCAAACCCTGGGTCCTCCATGCCTTGCTTCCTTCCCTCTCTCCCCTCCTGTGCCTAGCTCTTCCTATATTCTGGGGATGGAGGTCTGAATCCTGCCTTAGCCCTGACCTCCCAGTGTGACCTTGAGTTGCCCCCCACCCCCCACCTGACACAAGTTTCCTATATGTGTCACAGGGATTTATTTGGTTAGGGGAGGGGCCCAGGATTTATCAAGTTTCCTCTGCAATTCCAAAAGGGTTAACTTGGCCCCAGATTGGAAGCAGAGCCCAGCCCCCCACTCCCACCTCAAGTTGCCCCAGGAAGGTGAGTTAATGAGTGGCAGGTGCGACTTGAAGTTACCATTTTTGCCAGGCAGTCGCCTGGAGGGGTGTACAGTGGGGAGGGCAGGCGGACTGGAGAAAACTTTTGTTTTTCTCTCCAAGCCAGCTCCTCCAGTCCCCACTGAAAGCCCTGGGAGGGGCAGTAAATTGCTCAAGGTCACCATCACAGGAGGCAGAACCAGCAATCTCCTGCTTGGCAAGCCACAGACCCCTTCTGAGCTGCAATGGCCTCGCTGTGAACTGGGGACACAGGAGCCCGACAGCAGAGGCCGGGCTGCTGCTCAGAAGCCTCCCACAGCCACTGGCTTGCTTCCTGCTCTCTTTCCTCCTGTCTGGGCTGTCTGGTTTTTTCACCCACCATCAGAGTCGTATCTTGGGCCTACCACCAGGTGTGGGATGTCAGGGGCTCAGGCTCAGGAGGCCAGGCCTCTCCAGTGCTTTCCCTGGGCCCTCCTGTTACCCTCTGGGCAGGCTGGAGTGGAGACTCCACCCCCTAGAGTTTCCCACCTTAAGTCAGCTGGAAATTTCCCAACTGGAAATTCCCTCCCTGCAATGAATTACTCCTAAAGTGTTCACATAAATCTTTTTCTCCTTAGGCTTCTGCTAGACCTTTCTCCTCCCCTCCGCTATCTCCTGCTGCTGCTTCCAGTCTGATCTTGGAACCAGGGGATTGTTGTAAAATTAAAATCTGACATGTCACTCTCCTGCATGTGCCCCTGAGAGGCTCCCTGCTGGCCTCTGACCCAAAAGGGACTGGTTACCTTAACACGGCCCCACCCTAAGGGGCCCCACCCTTCCTGCCTTCCCCTCTCTTGCCTCCCTTTCCTCTGGAACTTACACTCACCCTCATTCCCAAATAGGAATGGAAGCCTACCTGGTTCTAGCCCCTAGGGATACAACAGGGAACAAAACAAAGTCCCTGCCCTACGGCTGCTTGAGTTCCAAGGGGAGGAGACAGACAAGAAAGGAGATAAATTACCAATGCATATTGTTTGATAGATAGTGATGAGAACTATGGAGAAAAATAAACCAAAGAAGGACAGGGACTACCTTGTGGGGCAGGGAGAGGGTTCTGCAATTTTAGGTATCACACCAGGGAAGGCTTCACTGAATTTGACATTTAGACAAATACTTGAAAGAGGTAAGGGATGGAGACAAACAGATATCTGAAGGAAGACTTTTCCAGGCAGAAGGAAGCACTGGTGCAAAGGCCCTGGGGTACCAATATGTTCCAAGAAGAACATGGAGCTAGGGGGGCTGGTGTGGTGTGAGTTAGGGGAGGCAGGGCAGGAGATGAGATTGGGGTGGGGTTGATGGGATGAGTAAATTATTGAAGGCCTTGTAGGTCATTTTAAGGTCTTTGACTTTTACTCTAGAAGAGTGAAATGCACATGCACAGCATTTAGAATTTTATCTCCAGTCATATGTCAGTATTTATTTGCCCCTGGGCCTTTGCATATGATGGTCTCTGCCTGAACTGCTTTTCCTGCCCTGACAGAAGTCCACCTGACTTCTCAAGAATCCCTTCCGTGAATCTGTCCCTCTGTTCCTTCACCCATTCCCCCATGCCAGGCAAGCCCTCTCCTGCTTGTGCACATGCTGAAACTCAGGCATAGCTCAGAGCCTTTACCAAATTGTGCCCCAGAAGGTAGAACCAACTGCTATTATAACAGGGTGGTCCCCAGGAAAGGGGAAGGTTCCAGGTTTTCTGCCCCACTCAAGGGAGGGTGGAGCTGAGCAGGGAGAGAAGAAGCTGCAGAGGAGACTGAGGAAGGAAGGAAGCAGGATGGAGAGCCAGAAGGAGACCTGGAGGAGGCGCATGGAATGGAGAGACATGTGAAGAAACTGCGCTTGCCTTTTGGTCGTGGACTGGTTGATACAGATGTGGGTGAGAGACCTGTGAGGAGGTGACAATGGCGGTTTTTGTCTTGATTTTGATTTTGCTCTTTTCCTTCCAGACTTGTCTGGTGGTTTCTGATCCTTTTCTGTGGGTCCCCACTGGAAGACGCTTTAGACTTGTGGCAGGCTTTGGGGCCTTGCTCTGGGCCAGTCCCATTTGGATGGACTTTTACCCACGAGGGGACGGGTAACTTTGGGTGCTTGATTTAGAAACTATTCTTTGCCTTTCCTGTATTGTTTCCTAATTGTATTAAAAGTTCCTTCCCATTAAAGTCTCCTATGTTTTGTGTTGATGCGGCAGATGGCAGAACCTATTTAGAGCGCGCAGGTTTGCGGGGTCTGGGGGGCCCCTCTCTCTGCCCTGTAACACCATCACTCTCTGCAATCCTGTGTTTATCAGAGCGCTCAGTGCCCTGCACATAGTAGGTGCTCAACAAGAGACTCCCTGGGGACCTGGTCTGGATTCAGCTCTGCTATTTACAGATTCTGTGACCTTGGGCCGCTCACCTTGCCCCCATGAACCTCCTTTTCTGCATCTATCAGTTGGGTGTGACCCTTCCCCACTGGACCTCTGGAGCATCTTGCCAGGATCCCAAATGCCTTCCGAGGAGAAGAAACGGTGGTTGGCGCGCCCTCTGCTGGAAGACGATGGATTCCTGACGCGCTCCTTGGCGGGCTCCCTCTTGGCAAGAGAGGAAAGTCTGAGGCAGGGGAGCAGGAAGGCGGATGACCCGGCACTTGCGATGCACCCAGCACACTTGTTCCCACGCAACCTTCGCTGTGGACCTGCGGGAGGAGAAAAGGACGGTGAGGGGGCTGGAGTGTTGGGGTCGTGAAGAGGAAAGAAAAGAGGAAGCAGAGAGTGCTTGGGAGATGCCGAGGTCTCCCAGGCAGGGCTAAGGATCAAATTCGTCTTCACTGGGGCTGGGCTTGCGTGGGTCCTGGGCCCCGCCCAACCATCAACCTCAGTTTGGGGAAGTCCTGCCCGGGCTCAGTTTCCTCACCTAGAAAATGGGTACGATCACTATAGGGCCTGAAGGTGCCTGTGGAGCCACCAGAGGGCGCCAGAGGCTCTTGTTGGACTAGACCAGAGTGGACCCAGGGGCCAGCTGCGGCAGGCTGGGGCCCCTGTGGGCCTGGGTTTCCTTTTTTAAAAAAAAAAAATATATATATATATATTTATGCATACAAGAGCTGGGGCACAGGCCAGAGATGCGGGGGGTGGGAGGTCTCACCAGAGACAGAGCGGGGAACAGAAAAGGCAGATTGACTGAAACACAAGGCTGAGGGGAGCAGCGGGCAAGTTAGGAGAGGTCTGCCACGCCATGTGGGTAGCTCCCTGGCGGCTGTTGATCGAACTCATGCTGCAGAGGCTGCAGATTGCTTCATAGTGCAGTGCTTAACCCCTTGCGCCACCAGGGAGGCCCCCAGGTCTCCTTTTCTGGGAGGGGCACTCATTGCTTCCCTGCTCTCAGCCTCTATCAGATGTCCCTGGAGGGTCCTGCCCTGTTAATAGACATAGATTCAAAGCATTTCCACCTCTATAAAATCACTTTCTCCTATAACCCCTGGAGGTGGCCTGATACCTCCCTCAAGTCCAGAGTGGAACCACCAGCCCATGTTGCCCTGGGTCTGACTCCCCCTGGCCACCCTCAGCCCTTCTCAGATGCTCAGCAACCTCTCGCTATAAGGGGACACTGAGATCTGCTCAGGGAGCCTCCCCTGCAAACCGTAAGGTACAGACCAGACCCATCTGCTAAACACAGTGTGGTGGGCGGGAACGCCAGGCAGAAGGGGTGGTGTGAGCAGAGGTATGGTATCCCCAACAAGCACAGCTTGTGTTGGGGGACAGGGAGACGGTGACTCTCCAAGCCTACAAAGTCAGGGTGCCAGATGAAAACTTTGCCAACCACAAGCTCACGTTTTCTTTTAGAGATGGCCCTCGTATCTTTATAATCCTGCAAGGGAATCTGATTCTTTCCCTCTGCCCAGGACTGAAATCCCACCATTAGCCTGTCATTCAAAGGTCGGGAGGCCAGGAAAGCGTCCCTCAGCGCAGGGTCAGCTGCCTGTGTGCAGTGGAGGGTGAAGGGGACTGAGAAACTCGGGGGGCCAGGCCTGGGGGCAGCTCTGGTTCCGGGAGTTGCTTCTAGGATTCCCATTGCACAGAGGGGGAAAACCGCGTCACAGAAGAGAACTTGATTGAGACCACACTGCCCCTCAGGAGGGGAGCCAGAACCCAAGCCCAGGCTGCCTGTGGCCCCCAGAGCCTGCACTTTTAACCCTTGTGGGACGCACCGGGGCCCAATCCCAGCTGCTCTCTGGTTTCTAGCTGTGGGACCCGTCACGCTGCTTGCCGGCCTTCTCACCTGAAAAGTGGGGGTTGAACGGCCTACCTCGTGGGGTTCTCTTTAATGAGTCAACTCCCACAGCATGTTTCGAACACGGCCGTGAGTGCAGCCACTGTCCAGTACACATCATTCCTGAACCCAGGTGGGCACTTGGCCTTAAAGAGTCTAGAATTCTTTGGGATTCTAAAGTGCCAGCCTAAGGGATCTGGACTCCTCCTCTGATGTCCTGGGCTGCAGCCTTGCACGCTGCTTCTCGTGGCCGGAAGGTGTTGACCCGCCTGTCCATTCAGCTCAGCCCCACACAGGCGGTGAATGATGTCAAAGCCCTGGCTGGGGCCCAGCCCCGTAACCGCCCCCTCTCCCTCCCTCTTGCTCCCTCCCTCAGATTCACACACACACCCACACACACACACATACACACTCCTGGAGGGCCGAGAGGGAAGGTGAGAGGGAGTGAAAGTGAGTGGACGGGGGCACCGGCCATCAGAGCGGAACTCCTCCAGCACTGGTGAGCTGGTACACCCAGGGACTGCAGCCGGGGCTCGGGGCAGCCTGCCCCCCTTGGACCCTAAGCCCTGCTCAGCTGTGACTCTGAGCATCACCCCGACAGCTGTGAGTGTGTGCAGGTATCTGCCTGGTTCGCTGGCGCCCCCTCTGCCGGCAGTGCACACAGGGGACCTGGCCCGGCAGCCATGGCTGACGAGAAGACCTTCCGCATCGGCTTCATCGTGCTGGGACTCTTCCTGCTGGCCCTGGGCACCTTCCTCATGAGCCATGACCGGCCCCAGGTCTACGGCACCTTCTACGCCATGGGCAGTGTCATGGTGATCGGGGGCATCATCTGGAGCATGTGCCAGTGCTACCCCAAGGTAGGCAGTGGTGGGGGTCGCTGGGGGGCCTGGCTTCAGAAGCACCTGGGGCCGTGCCCCCGTTCCAGACATCAGTGCCCTCACCCATCATTCAGCTTTTCATCTTCTCCTTCTCGTCCTTGCCTTCTCATGCCCTTGTTTCTTCTGTCTCCTGATCGTCCACCCCTCCACCCTCCACCCTCCACCCTCCACCCCTCCACCCTCCACCTCTCCATCCTTTGCTCCCTCCTCCTTCCTTCCCTCCCTCCTTCCCTCTCTCCCTTATCATAAGGATTGATCTGAAGCCCCTGAAGGAGTTGAAGCCCTGAACTGGGCACCATGGGGAAGGCATGGTGAAACCCAACCCATAGTTCACGTGCCAAGTTCCTGAATGTTTGGCGCCTGCAACTCCTGGCGCAGCCCAGCCCCCGCCTGAACCTTTTGGTACCTCCTGGAGGTCCATTTTGTGGTGGGGAAGCTGGAGGCTCGGGAAGCTGAGGTCTCCCAGCTCTAATGTGCCAGCGCTGGGCCGGAGCTCACAACCCTCCTTGGAAGGGCTGCCGAGGAGCTTGTGGGAGGGCCGGGGCTGGCTGTAAGCTTGTTGGCCTGCCTGGGCTCTGTCTGTCGTAGTGTTGATGCCTCCCAGCCTTGCTAGTGATGGGAAGAGCACTGGTTTGGGAGCCCGGAGTTCTAGTGTTGGTTCTCTCTTAAACTCCCTGTGTGGTCCTTGTCTTTCTGAGTCTCAGTTTCTTTCATCTGCAAAACGGCGCTCCAAGCCCCTGTTTCTCCCAGCCTCACGTAGTTATTGTGAAGTTAGAGAAGAAATGGATATTGGCATGCTTTGTAAAATGTAGAGGGCTCTATTTAGGTGAGGGGTTGCGCCCTTACCTAGATTGATCCTCTGAACTACTCTGTGGGATGGGCATGTCAGGAGTTGTAATCCTTCAATGCTCAGAGAGGTTGAGTGACTTTTTCATGGTCACGCAGCAGGTGAGAGGCTGAACCAGGGAGACAAGGAGAGAGGTGGGGGTTCTAGGTTGGGCTCTGCCTCTGCCTGGGAGACTTTGGTCAAACTACTTCCTTCTCTGAGCACTAATTTCTACATTTGTACAGTGTGAGTCAGAAACGGGGGTGGCAGAGGGGGTACTATAAGGGCCTGCTGGTCCTGACGTCTAGTGGTCTGCAGACCCCTCTTCACCTCTAGCCTGAGTAGCTGTGCTGGGGGTTCAGGGAGGAGGGAGGAGGTTCCTGGGGCCTGGGCCTGCCTTCCCAGCCCTGCCCCCTCAGTGGGCAGCTCCAGGCTCTGGGCGCTTTCGGTGCTGAGGCGGTCTAGGCTGGTTTGTGGCCATTTACTGAGCAGTTTACAGTCAACTTGCTTCTGTCTGTACAGTGCCCTGAGTGGAGGTCACCGGGTGAAGAGGGGCCGAGTCACCCATCACAAACACCATTGACATCCTCTTTGCATGAGCTGGCTGGGCCCTGGGGGCCAGCAAGGGGGCCACAGCAGGGAGGACGTGAGGGAGTGTCCTTGCTGCACCCCCCTTCTTTCCCAGCAGTGGCTCTGGGGTGGTGGGCAGAATGACTGGGCGGCAGGGAGATGAGGGAGAGCGTGCACAGGGGTACTGCTGGGCATTAATGAGTAACTGTTGATAGATCCACGTGTTCAGTGCTGTGGCGGCACGGCAGGGTGGAAACCACACACACTTTAATGTCCACCAGACCCAGATCTCTATCCCTTTTCCCTCATGCCCCACTTCTGTGACCTTGGCTGAGGGAGCCCCCTGCCTCTCAGAGGGAGACTCATGGCTGAGTGGGAGGGGCCAGTAGGGTCTGTTTGTGGGGGACCTGGTGTGGTGTCTGACAAGGAGCCCGCTGGAGGGCACTGCTCGGGGGGTTGGTGGCTGTGGCATGGGGGGTTTGTGCGGGTCTGTGCGGGCGAGAGTGTTTCAGGGTCAGGGGCTTCGTGAATGGGTATACTGAGGAAAGTGTGTCATAGGCCAGGAGGTGCGCTACAGGGTAAGTCCCCCTCTCCCCCCTATGGGTCCTCCCCTGGCTCTTAGCGCCTCCCAGTGCCTGACAAATGGGAGTTATCTGGATGGAAAGAAATATAAATATAAGCCCCCAGGTTCATTCTCTAGCACCTGCACCAAAAAAGAAAAGAAATAGAAGGGAATGGAATTAGCCCATTGAGATGTGGGGCTAACGGATACCAGCCAGTCCTGGTAGCAATACCAACACGAGTCACACCGTGCCTGTTTTTGAGGGGCTGGTGTCTCATGGGGGAAACAATTTTCTGCTTGACAGGGAGGGAGTAGGCATCACAGAGGAGATGAGCTGGGATGTGTAGGCTAACTAAGTAGAAGTTCACCAGACAGAGAAGAATGGGAAGACATCCCAGACAGGAGGAATAGCATGATCAAAGGCCTGAGGTGCAGGAGCAAGGCAGGTGGGTCAGATGGTAGCTGGAAGGTGGGGGAGGAAGAGGGTGGGGAGGGAGCGGGACTCAGCTCTGGGGGCCTGGGCTACCAGGCTGAGGAATTTGGGCCTTATCCTTTAGTTGATGGGACCAGAGGGGGATGTGACTGTCTTTACTATTCAGGAAAGTTCAAGAAAGCTGACATCAGGGAGGAGGAAGTGCCAGCCTGGCAGGGGAAGCCCTTCCCTGGTCCAGGTGAAAGAAGGTGGTCTCCTGGGCTAAGGCACAATTTGAACCCAAGACTGTAGGAACTGAGAAGACATTTCCAGTTCATCAGACATATGATGACCTGTGCTGTGCTGGACATGGCCCTGGCACGTCCTCCCAGCCTATCTCATTGAATCTTTGAAGTAGACTTGATCAGATTTAGTGGCCACCTGGGCCTGCTAATTCTCCTAAGGCTCCCATTGCTTCTGGATGAAGTTTGAACTCCTGAGTCTAGCATTCTGGCATCTTCATGGTTTGATCTCCCCTCCCTCCCTTCAATTCTTCCCGTCCTTCTCTCTTTGAAGGACTTGTTCTAAGATACCCCAGGCTCTCCTCCTGACTTTTCACATTGCCTATAACGATGGTGACGATGGTGATGGTGATGGAATGATGATGTTAATGGTGATGACGATGATGATGGTGGTAATGATGATGATGGTGGTAATGATACAGTGAATACAGTGGTGATACAGTGAACATGGTGATAGTGATATAGCGATATTGGTGGTGATAGTGGTGATGGTGATATAGGTGGTGATGGTGACGGTAATAATGATCATGATGAGGGGGAGAAGGTGGATGGTGACTGGACCATGAGATAATGAGCAGAGGAAGAGACAGCTTTCAGGAAGCCCAGAGTTCCAGCAAACAATCGCAAAACATCCTTAATGACCGTAGAAGATGTCCAGGCCCTGCCTTATTTACAGATATTTGGGGGAAGCTTGCCCCCCACATGAGTTCTAAGAATATCTCCATCCATCATCCCCTTCTTGTAAGCATGGCACCTTTTCTGGAGGAACAAGTGTCTTTTACTCTCTGTACTCTATCGGAAGGCTAAAAGGAGGATTTTCTCTTTGAAAGTGGCATAGTACAATATTTGTTGAATAAATTTGCAGTTGAGAGATGACTCAGAGATGTCAGGTAACTTCATTCTCAATAGTATTGAGTTGTAACTTACTGAGCAGCTACTATGTGCCAGCAGCTACTGTACCGGGGACTCCTTATATATCACCTCATATCAACCCCAGGCATCACTAACCCAATTTTTTTAAAAATGTGATAAAATGCACACACTTGGGTTGCTTCTACTTTTCCATCGTGACCAGTGCTGCAAATATCTCTTTAAGGCTAACCCCTTTGTACAGAGCACAGAGGATCTGGGAAGAGAGATGATTTGCCGAAGGAGGGATTCCCACCCAGTCTCCGGGACCCCAGTGCAGGGCTCCTACCTCACCCCACTGTCTCCTTTATGATTCCCACACACACACACACACACACACACACCAGGTGCCCACCCCATAGTGTTGCACTTTCAGGGACCTCTTGACCCCAGAGAGCCTGGGGCAACCCAGACATGCAATTCTCTATCCTGCATTGCAGCCTCCATGCCAAGAAGCACATGACAAGGAGCTACTTTCCACTCATTCTCTAGACGTGATTAAGTGCCTGCTCTGCACCCAGCATGGTTGGACTCTGGGTGAGGAAGGGAATTAACAAAATGTCAGCACCTTCAGGGAAGGTTTGACTCTTCCACTCACTGTTGCCCCCTAATGCCTAGAAGAGTGCCAGGTGTATAGCAGATGCTCAGTGAAGATGGGTGAATGAAGAGCCAGGAGAGCAGGACCCCGGAGATCCAACCATCCTCTGTCACTGGGCCCCCAGCAGTCCCTTCCTGTTGGAGACCCCCTCTGGTTGGTTCTCTCCCAGGGTTCAGCCGATGCTCAGGGAAGGAGGTGGGAAGAGCGGCCAAGGGCGTGTGCCAGCAGCCACAGAACAGCTTCCCCTTCGTCCTGCAGATCACCTTCATACCTGCTGATTCCGACTTCCAAGGCATCCTGTCCCCGAAGGCGATGGGCCTGCTGGAGAACGGGCTTGCTGCAGAGATGAAGAGGTAGGTGCCAGGCCCAGTGGGGCAGGAGGGAGGGCTTCAGGGAGCATTGAGTCAGGTAATAGAAGCCAAGAACAGAGCCTAGTGCACAGCGGGCCTTCTGCAGGTGTGCATCGTCATCACTAAGAGCGTGCGATGCACCAGAGATCATCTCAGGAGTTTTGCACCCATTTTCTCCATTAGTCCTCATAGGAACCTTGCATGTGTGTTGGGGTAGGGGGGCATGTCAGACCCTGATGCAGACATGGAAACTGAGGGTCCAGAAGTGCATTCATAAGCTCCAAACCTTATAGGAATCAATGACGCATCAGAGCAGATCTGCCTTTCTCCCTGGAGGTGCCAAGCCCTACTCAGCAGGACAGGGCCGAGGACTCGAGTCCTGGAGAGGCCATGGGACTGTTGTCTCTCAGGTTGGGACTCTATGGTCGGAAGGCTGGGCTGCAGGTCCAGAGTCTGGCAGGGGCTCTGAGGTTCGCTCTACTTTGCTTGGGGGAGGAGGTGGTGATGGTATTTCTGTTCCTGGGATATGGGTGACCAGATGTCTGAGGGGCAAATGACAGACCCTGAGTGGGTGTCAGGACTGGTCACATGGAGAGAGCCCCATGACAGAGTTGGGGCTCAGGCTGCCCCTCACCTGGACTCCTCCCTGTTGTTCCTCTGTCCCAGGCAGGGAAGCCACTTTACAGAGGGACTGTGGGAGCAAGAGAGAACCCGTTGGCTGGGGTCCTAGTATCACCACTCCCTGGACAGCCAGCAAAGTCTCCATGCCTCAGTTTCCTCCCAATATCTCCCAGAGTTATGGAGAGGTCTAGAGGAGCTTACTGACAGCCTGGCCCGCAGGGAGCGCTCAGTAGCTGGGCTTTCCCTGCTGATGTGTCTCCCTGCAAAATAGGGACCCTCACTCTGCTTCAAGGACTTATTCAAAATAAACAGGATTACAAATATTAACCTACTGGTCCCCAAGGACATAGAATTTAGAACCCAACAAACTCAGGATGTGAACTGGGCTTCCTTGCATGATTGAACCCTAGGGGTTCACTTTGGAGAGACAGAATGACAGGAACACTGGACTGAGAGTGACTGGTACCACTTAGCTCACCTCGCTGAGCCCCAGCCTCCTCATCCATGAATAGGGTACAGTATGGCCCCAAAGGCTTCTTGGAGATCAGGGACCCAGAGGCCCAGGGCAGGCAGGGCGGAGGACCACACTGATATCTGTTGAGTGAATCTTTGCCCACCTGCCTGTTCTTTCTCCCGCTGTGCTGTGCCCCCCCAGCCCCCAGCCCCCCTACGTCAGGCTCTGGGAGGACGCTGCCTATGATCAGAGCCTGCCCGACTTCAGCCACATCCGGATGAAGGTCATGGCCTACAGTGAGGACCCCCACCCCCTGCTGGCCCCCGAACCCGGGAGCTTGCAGCCAGGAGTCAGTGAGGGAGGGGAAGGTGGCCCTCCAGACGCTCAGGCCTGCGTGGAGGCTGCAGTGGTGGTCCACAGGGGCTTGGATGAAGACGCGAGAGAAAGAAACCCAACTCAGAACAGGCCCAGGTAAGACACAGAGCACAGGAGAGGGGGTGCTGCTCACTTCCAGGGGGACAGGGTGTGAGCCACTGTGGGGTGGCTGGGGACATTTGGTAATGAGAGGGGCTGGAGGGGCAGCAGGTGTAGCAGACACATGTGCTTGGTTCCTGACCCAGCTCCTTTGCCGTGTAACCTGGGCAAGTCAGGTGCTGGCAGGAAGTGGGTCCCCTGTGCTATTGGCAGAATGAGTGAACACATGGGACAGCTGGGAATGGCACAGGGTGGGAGTGACCTGCCCGAGGCCACAGAGCACATCAGCAGAGCCTGGATTTGAATCCAGGCCCCAGAGATTCACAAAATGCTTTCAGAGAGTCCAGGCCTCATCGTATCTGCCACTTAGGAGCACTGAGCTCTCTTGGTGCTCATGATAGTCCCTGAGGGAGGAGTGTTCCCAGATGGGGAACTGAGGCTCAGACACATAAACTCACCTGCCTCAGGCCTTGTGGCCAGTGGTCGGGATTTGGAGCCAGGCAGTCTGACTCAGTGCTCACCTCATTCTTTCTGTCTTTACCCCTGCAGCTCTCTGGCCTGTCCCCAGGATCTTGCACCCTTGGCTTCCTTCCAAGATGACCTGGACATGGACTCCAGTGAGAGCAGCAGCCCCAACACATCTCCACCTGAATCCCACCCCCCACCTGGGGAATCCTGGGTCTGCAGGTGCCGGCTGGACCGCTACCAGGACTTTGCCCTGATTGATGCCCCTGTGTTGGAGAATGAGCCTTTAGAGGGGCAGCGTCAGGAGGCAGCCCTGCCCAGCTACTGGCAGCAGTCCCCGAGGACAAAGGAGAAGAAGGAAGAGGAGGCTTCAGACTCAGGCGAGGGAGAGCCAGAGCAGGAAGAGGAAGATTTGTACTATGGGCTTCCGGATGGCCCCGGGGACCCCCTCCCGGACAAGGAACTGGACTTTGAGCCTGATGCCCAGGGCTGAGACAGCTCTGCCTCCTGGGTTCTAGCCCGGCCCTATTGCTGACACCCATGTGACCTCGTCGCCCTTTCTGGGAAAGGGAGCTATATGGGGTTCAAATGAACCCCAGAACATTTTGAGAACTGCAAAGATATGCACAGGGAGGGGCTGACTGCTGTCGAGGGGTCATGGCCATTCCAATTGGTCATCCTCTTTGGTGAAGCTCTGAAGGCAAAATGATTTACTGAGAAGAATTACAACAGCCAGGGCCCTCCAGAGCCTTTTCTGCCTCCTTATGAAGCTGGCCCCTGAATGGCTCCCTCCTTGGTGCTACCCCCAGGTCCCTGATTCTCTGTGAAGGGCATTCAGGCTTCCTGTTCCTGTTAAGTCTGTTCAAACCCCTGGAGAATGGTGTGATCGGTCTTCCCTCAGAACTAACCATGTCTCCCACCCCATCCCACTGCCTTGACCCACACCTGCCGTGACTGACCTCTGCTGGCCTCCAGACTGTCTCCCTGGTCAGCCCTGCACCATGCTCTCTTCTCCTCCAACCTCAAAGCCATGCCCCACCACACACTCACCCGCTGCTCCATGCCCTTCCCAGGCGGTCCCTTCTGCCAGCATGCCCTCTGCTCCCTTGCCTGTCCCTCCTTCAAGCCCCTGCTCAGATGTCCTCTGAAAGCTTGTCCTGCTGTGGCTGCCTCCCGGAATGAGCTAGTCCTGCTCCTCTGTGCCCCCTCTCGGCCATGGACTTTATCACTGCTGGCTCACTGGGTATCATCTGTTCCCAGCCTGGGACTTGGCCTGGAGTTGGAGGTCACTGAGGGTTTACACAACTGGCCAGCTAATATTCCCCTCCCCACTTCCCTAGCTCTTAGTCTCTCAGCATTTAAACCTCCACAAGGCCTGTGTAGGAGATGCAAAATCAGGCAAAATGTCCCCAGAACAACACCCGCCCCCATCCCTGCAGATCTCTATTGACTTAGGATTATAGGTGAAATTTACCTTCCTGCCTTTACTCACTTTGATTCAGGTGGCATCCACTGATTCACTGAGCATCTATTATGTGCTAGACACTCAGCAAGGATCTTTAGGGACAAACAGACTTGAATGGATACAAGTTCTTGTCCTCAAAGGGCTCATCATCTAGTGACTACTGAGAGCTTATACCCTCGGCCCCCTGGATGAGGGAGACCTTCCCCTGGGCTGGGCCTCTCAACTGGAGTTGGGGTTCCTGGCTGAGGCAAAGGCATGCACTGGGACATACTCCCACTTTCTGGGCCATGGGCAGATCCCTCTGTGTACAGGTGCCCCTGTACGTGGCCCCAAGTGTCATGGGGTGAGGGGCAGTGTGCCCTGTGCTCTGTTTACTAAGGTGGGGGGAGAAGATGACTTGCTGTCAGAGAGAGCACCAGTGTGAAAAGGCTAAAATAAAAAAAGAATTTGCAAAGTTTGAAGGGGTCACCTTCATTCACTTGCAAATTCTTCTATGCAAAACCACTCATTCCGCCTCTGGGCAGGATAAATGAGGCATCCTGCCTGGCCGGCCTGCAGGCACTCTCTGGAAAGTGAACACCAGACACAGCAGGCGTGACCGTGGGGGCAGCTGTGTGATGTGCAGCCCCACATCCCTGACTCCTAACTCACGCATTCCCCAGGCCTCACCAGAGAACCCAGGGTGCCAGGCCTCCAGGGGAGAAGAGCTAACCCTGCTTCAGGGGATCGGCCTTTCTGGGCAGTGGAGAGACACGGAGAAGCTCCAGACCCGGTTCCCCACCACTTTGCTGTGTGGAGCACTCATTTGCCTGCTCTGCCCAGGACAACCCTGGTTTATGCACATCGTCCCTGCTTCGGTGTCCGGAGTGTGCCCCTTCACTCTCAAAAGTATCCCATTTGGATGATGAATTACATATTCACTTTTCTCTGTGGTCTCGGGCAAGCCCGATGGCCTGTGTGACTCAGTCTCCTCCTGTGCAAAAGGGAGATGATAGGCCTTTGTCTTTGACATTTGCAGGGGGTGGGTGGTAGGGATTTGATGGACTCCAGCTGCCAATGCCCTGCAGGTAAGACCACTCAGTGTTCACCGGGAGTTCACAGTTGGTTTTATCACTTACTGAGGTGAGAGAGCAGTGGAGTCTGTAAAAGGATGTGAGAGGACTGAGGGGATTTGGGTTTGGGCCAGTGTCTTGGGGGAGGCCTTGAGGAGGGGTGCTGCTATACAGTGGTTCCTGTTGGGAAGTGGAGCTAAGTCTGTGATTGGCCACTGGCCCCTCAATCACTCTTTTCTAGAAGTGAGAAAGGCATAGACCCAAGCTAAAGTGGTTCTTGACAAAGAGGCAGCAGTTGTCCTCCAGCCAGGAGAGAGGTCCCCTGGTTCACTTTAGCTGCTGGACTAGTGCACCCTGGAGGGGCTCAGCCTTGGCTCCCGTGCGCTCTGACTGATGCTAACCCACATGGTCACAGAGCGCCTCGCTTGATGCCAGGTTCTGAGAGCTGTTCACGTCTGTCCGTGGCACACCAGGGCCCCGTGGGGGCCAGGCCTGCTCCCAGCTGCTGTTCCTTCCCAGATCTCACTGCTTAGAGGCTCCTCCTCTGCAGCCAACTGGTGACTGTGGGCGGTAGAGGGTGAGGAGCAGAATATACTTATATTTTGTTTGAACAAAAGGATCTGCAGGTTTTTAAAAGTTTGAAGAGTAGGGTGCAGCATTGGGGGGGGGGGAAATGTTCTGACCACCCATCTGCTTCACCAACTTCAGACCTATCTGAAGCTCACCATTGGGCTCTGTTCCCTTGGCCTTGCCAAGCTGCAATCTCCTCTGAAGCTCACCATTGGGCCTCTGGGATGATCCACCCAGTGGGCTGGAATGGGCTCAGTCTACATGCCAGTCCCCAGAGCCAGAGAGGTGCTGTAGGCCCTGGAGGCACTGCTGGGATTCCAGCTTTCAGCCCCAGACTCAGGTTTGTGTGCCAGGGCAGAAATTTCTGCTCTTTTCACCCTCCCGCCAGGTCAGAGAGACTTTGGAAGTTTCCACTCTCTGGGGAGGAAAAGGCTCTGTAGGAATGCCCCTGCCCTTCACTGGGGTAGGGAGTACCCTGGGGGCAGTGAGTTTGGGCTCTGTGACAATTGTTATGACCTTGGATGTGTCCGTTGTCCCTCACGGCCTGGCTCAAATTTCACCTGTTCTCTGGAGCTTGACCCTGCTCTTCCCTCTTGTGCACTGCTCTGCTCCCAGCGCTCCCTGTGTGCGTGTGCCAGGCTCCCCTCTGGATGCCTGCCCCCATTTCTATCCCCAGGACTTAGCAAAAACAAGTATCAGCAGTGCTGGTGCAACTGGATAAAAATGACCCGGATTGAACCGAACCAGGTAGCACGGTGAAGGCTCACTGACTCAGGAACCCACAGGGTGAGAAGCTCCAGCTTTGTAGTGATCATCCCTGGGCTTGAGACTGGACTTTGTCCTCAATTTCTTTCTTAATAAAAGGAGGTTAATATTATCTACCTACTAGCATGTTGTGAAGATTACATGAGAAGACGTGGATCATGCATGTCAAGGGCACTGTGTGTAGACGTCAGGGGCCAGCGTAGATGTGGGGTTAGTAGCCTATCCCGCACGGTATGACCAACACTTGCCAAATGCAGCCTGATGGACCTGGCTAGGCTGATAGGATTGGACTCCTCCATGAAGCTTTAAAAGTCCAGAGTCCTAGCACAACCCCCAAGAGCCTGGAATGGTCTAGAGCAAACCATCTTCTGTTTTTGAATGTGGCTTCAGTGACTGGAAGATGACCTAGAAAAGTGGGGCTTGCAAGCCAGGATCTAAACAGGTAGAATGAAGGGGCCAGAGCATCTCAGGTTGAGAACACTATATCAGCAAAGCCCAGAGGCAGCACGGGGCAAGGTGTTGCTAAGCAGCTAGAGGACACCAGCCTGACTGGAGTGGGTGGACGAAGTCAGAGAGTGAGGCTAGTGCTTAGCCACAGCGCTTCTTGAATTCCTACCATGGAACACAAACTTGATCTCATGGGCAAGATGATGATTCCTGAGCAGAGGAGTGACATGAAGAAAGGACTTGCAAGGACATTTTTTGGTTAGTAGGTGCAAAGAGAATGTGGGGAACAAGTCAGTGGCAAGAAATGTGGCTCATGGCCTATGGCAGGGTTCCATTTTCCACCCTGATCTGTAGAAGGTTTGTCCACCCACAAAGGTAGGTGTCAGAGCTGAGCCCTGCTGGAGCTAGAGCCCCAGATTCCTCATCGCTGACCACAAGCCCAGCCCAGCAGAACAGGGCACCTGGGGCAGAGGTTGGGCCTTTCACCGGAGCCCTGGTCAAGTCCATACCTGGTTCACAGATTGCCCAGGGCAGGGCCAGAGAGGGCCCAAGAGACCCAGGACGTGCCCAGTTCAGATAACAACCCCACAGTGGTCCTGCAGGTGTGGTAATTCGCTGAGTCACCTGTGCATTCTCCTCTTTTGACCCAGCCAAGAGCAAACCTGGGGAGGCTGGGAGGTGGGCAGTAGCAGGCTTTGGATGCCCGATCAGCCAGCCTGGGGTCAGGAAGGGTAGATTTCATTCGTTTATTCATTTCTTCACACATTCATTCATTTATTCTGGCTACAAATACTCTCCAAGCACTAGCTTGATGCCAACCTCTGTGCCAGGCACTGGGGACAGAGATCTGAGTGACCCATGTCTGTCTGAGGTCAGGTCTCCCCGAGCCCCCTGGGGTAACTGCAAGATAATCAGTGACGGGGGGCGTGGTCAGTGCTGGATAGAGAGAGAAAGAGAAGACAGGAAAAGAGAAGTTCACCTACAGAGAATCTGTGACCACGTAAAGAAAAAACGAAAACATATTCAACCTCAGGAATAATGAAAGGAACGCAAATTAAAACAAGAACCTCTGTTTCACCCATAACACCGCTGATATTTGGTAAAGAGGATCACAGCAGGTGGTGTTAGCAGAATATGGAAGAACAGGGGTGTTTCTTACATTGCTGGTGGGAATGGAAATGAGGCAAGCTTTTTTATTTTCTGAGGGGGTTTTGTATCATGTTCCTGGGCATCAGGCTGCCC